AATTAAATGTTGCCAATCAAGATTCTATCTCGGCAATTCCCGTGTCCGCTCACGTGTCGCTATCAAACGTACAAGTTATCAATCATTAAGATCCATGTAAACAACTTTTAATCTCCCGCCTAATCGTACGCAACTAAAGGGTTTGTTCTCAAGTCCATATAAAATTTGGGGACGAAATTAATTCCAAAAGAATTTGGTTTGTATGTTTAAAAAAATTAAGTCATCCTCTATGAACTGGCCACTAAAATAAAAGGAAACATCTATCTATATTATATTTATTCGACTCCATTGATACAGTTTTATACTTGTCCTGTATCGATTTAATATTCAGATCTATAGCTATAAAACCCCTAATGTAAACGAAATGAAATTGTTTTCTTATACATAACAACTTCATTTACACCCAAATGAAGCTACGATGACTTCATAACAGCACATAAATTACTATCGAGTTTCCCGGCGCCTTTTTATAAAGTGTCTTTCGAAAAGCCGTCTATAATCGTTGTAAAGTAAAAGTGGCAAAGTTTTAGCCTATCAACTTAATCAGTGATGTGAGACTCACTTCATCCTGTTATTTTTCTCCAAAGAGTTTGAAAAAAGGTCTTATTTATATAAAAAGAACACGCGATATCACTTTTGAAACTAAGTCTCGTAGAAAATAACTCCTAACACCGAAAGATATAAAGTACGACAACAACCCGTCCTCAGGGGAACCGTTGATTCCTTTCTAGCACTATTTGATAGAATTGAATCGATTCTATTCATTTTTCTTCATTGATTGTATAGCGACCTGGGTCTGTATACATAAATAAGGGCATTGTGAATAACTTATTTACTAGCAGTAGCGGAAACCAATACAATAAACCAAACAACTAGCTTAAGCTTTCAACGGCTATGTAGTTCGGCGTCGGCCAGTTGTACGTTCTGGCTGAATGCCCTGAAGTAGTCGGGCAGATGGTTCTTATAATTTGTTCTACTGCATTACATTAAAGTTATCTCCTAGATACAGAATCAGTTTACTTCAAAATTTAACAAATTTTTATATTTAAAAATCAACTCGTGTAGAACGCAGCGCAACAAAACTTAACTTTTTTATTGGCCACCAAAATATTGTTTGTGGAATAGGAAAAACATTATCACGGAACGTTGCCAGAAAGTGAAATAAAATACTAAACGACGCCATTACCTACGCTTCTATTTTTTTATTATTCTATTACTTACCGTAAGTTTTTTTTTGTGTACGCGCTACGTTGAACTTAAATGTCTTTTTATTGAGTAAAAATGAAAAAAAAAATTGGAAAATAAGAATTGGCACAAAATATTCAATATGTAACTAATAATGTTTAAGGATATAAATAAAACCATCGAGTTCGGAAGTAGAATGGATCGGAAGGCGGGACGCTTGCCAACTTAGCCAATGAACTGTCAAAGATCATGTGAAATACAATCAGAAGTTCCGGCGATTCAGTTAAAGTGAAATAAAACAAGAAGTTAGTCGAGTTGCACAAGTAAACGATACTTCTACATGGGTTTAATCCAGCTCTGTAACTACAGCTTCCATTTACTTTGAAGTATGAGACAATGGCGGTTTCGCGCCAACCCTGAACAATGAGACTCGGGGACACATCTTACACTTGCGTTGTAGTCGTAACACGCAACGTAAACAGGTTGATCAGAAAAGCTTCATTGTGTATAACTATTTCCTCTTGTTGCAATAAACAACTGTAGTCTAGTCTAGACGCTTCCTGGTGAAGAAACCTATCATGTTATCTTTCCACTCGTATTTTTATATTAATATTTAATGTTATTATTTGGCTAAAGTTGTTTTAACCGACTTCAAACCAAGGACGAGGTTCTCAATTCGACTGCATGTTTTTTGTAAGTATGTTACGCTATATCTTCGTCAATAGTGATCCGATTTTGATTATTCTTTTTTTTTATTAAATAGGTTATATACTTTAGGTGTGGTCCCATTAAGGTTGAAAAATACGGAATTAAGTTTTTAATGGAACTATTTAGACGACATTAACGTAGTATATACATATATAAGATATATGTATAATGTGATATTTCTTAGTTCACTCAAAGTTTTGTCGGTGCTAAAACATATTGTATAGAAGAAGTAAAAGTAGTTGTTGTTTGAAGTCTGCTTTTTCATTATAATAAAAGTTAATTTTTAATAAGCTACTATTAGGAAATTGCCACTTCATATATTCTAACACAAGCTATTCACTATTGCGTCAAGACTGGCAGAATTACGCTAGTAGCAAGTAAGCAACAGTTAACACAGCGGTATCTCCTGCTATTATATGAGATGTTGACATGGGAAATAATATTCATAATGCCAGCGTACATGGCACGTCACTTGTCTAGTTCATTGTTCGAGCGCACTGGCACACGCTAATGTAGTCGGCCTAGCAACGCTCGCCAGTTCCATTCACCTCTCACCGAGCTAGAACGGTTATGTTGAATACGCGCGCGCCCGATCTTACATTCTAACACATTATAAAAATAATTTCCACTATATACGCACATATACTAAACATTTATTGGTGCTTAAAACCGTACCGCAAAACTAATCAACATCAAAAAAGGACAGTATCTCTTATTATTAGATTGTCATCATTTCCTTTAAGGTGTGTAATGTACGACTGTATTCTTAACTCCTAATTAGTTGCAATACACAATACACCATATTCTTTCATCCTTGTGATGATGACACACACGAACGAGATCGTAATAACGGTTCATTCTCATCATCACAAGTCCACTACTAAACATAGGCCTCTCCCAAGGAATGCCACAAAGCACGGTCCTGAGCCACCATCCATCGACTTCCTGCATAGGTCTTCCAGGTCGTCACTCCATATATTGGGGGGCCGCTTCCCTTATCGGTAAAAAGTTGCCACGCGAGAACCTTTCGGTTCTTCGAGCTATATGGCTGGCCGTTTACTAACAGACCGCCTTTTAAAGTCACAATAAGCTTATACGTATTTATATATACATCACCTAACTAGCAATCAAGGATTTGTCAGTCAGTTTAATATAACAGTAGTAAGTTCGTACGGCCGTAGCTCAGGAGGTTTAACAAGGCCACTGATAACGCTAATACAATGGCCGACGATTCCCACGATGTAAATTGCATCGTGATGTCATCGCCGTATTCAGACTAATATTAAAAGTACCTACCTACTGCGGTACCTGTATTGTTGTGATCATTATCACGTTTGTTTAAAAACTATTCGCGGGTGAGTTAGATGAGCAAATGAGGCACGAAATAAACGATAATTTCATGAGGCGGGTAATGTGTATGTCGACAGCGGTTTCGTTTACCAGATAGCTTTTTTACCGCCGCCCATGCGAATTCGGATTATCTGCTACAACAGATTATCGCTCGAATATGAAATGGTGATGAAGCACGGTTTAATAATAACACTTACATGGATCTCCTGTAATAGTTTGTCATTTTATTCCAATTCAAACTAGCCATTTTGCGTCACATTAAGTAACTAAGTATCCAGTCACAGCATGTAGATAGATAGGATTTATATCCTATATTTATATATAATTCTAGGAAATATTTTGCCGATTAAGAAGTCGATGTGGCCGGAGGTGACGCGACGGGACGCATTCACTGCCTTTCACTTCCCGCTTTTGTTGTTCAGCCACTCTTAGACTACGGAAAGGCAGACGGCCTTGTAGCTTGTACTAGGCGTTCCTTCCCATACAACATTATATTTTGAGCATATACACGAATATTCGTTATGACATCATGCGTCTCATTCCGACCAATCAATTGCCACAATCTGAGCGCGAAGATTTGACGCCTTTATTCAAACGCTTCCTGCTATCTGGCTACGTGCAATTAAATATTGACCGTGTAATTACGTGACGTCACGGTCAAGGAAAATACAAATAACACCAAAGCCATTATAGATGCGGTCATGTAACATTCGCATGTGTTAGAGCGCGGCTTCCAGGGCCGCGTTAACCTTGGCTTTTGAGCGGCGACTTTCACGGTTAGACGGTCGGAGTGTTACATAAGATGCGCGTCGTACGCAGCCATCGCTGGTGTGACGGCATCGCGACCACTCACTAACCACTCGAAAACCGGTTCCCACAGCTATAACAATAGAATTAAGTAACAGAATTACAAACAAAATGCATTTGCATTAGATCTAACAATTTGTCAATCTTGACGCCCTCTTGTACACGCAATCACTTTTTAATAAATATTAGATTATATATTATGTTTTTTACAGTGTGCTAATATCATATTATACATATATTTACACATCAAACTTTTTGTTTTGACGTTTATCAGTCGCAATCAGAAGGATTTTTATACAAGTGAAATCAATTCATTACAGTGACGCCGCGCCGTTTGATTTTCAGAGATAAAAAAATATACGCTTTTAGAAAAGGCTTTTTATTAAACGATTTGTCAAAATTGACATTTTACGACAATCAGTCGTTTGCAGACCGTACCTATATATTATTTTATGGTTTTGGTTAGTCCAATCAGATTACATAAATTGAGACATTTATTGATCATATTATGTATTATGTCATGGTCGTTACTTTGAATGCCATAAAATATATTATAATCGTATGGTATAATAAGTATTTTGTCTTTCGTCGTAAAGACGGCAACGATATTAATTGTTTATAATGAGTAGTGGACCTTCGGCTACGATCCAATGGGTATTAGACTATTAGAGCCAAGTCTACTGCTGAACATAGGCCTTCCCCATATATTGCCTCATAGGAATAATATATTTGCCATACTTGGCAAATGGGTTGGCAATCGCAGTTTGTTATTTTTTATTCAGTTGTTATCAGGAAGACATCTATCTCCTGATTCAATTTCCCTCTATCGCCTCTTACGACACACACGGGATATCATGTAGTGCATATTCCTATAGCACCCCTAAGCGGTATTTTATAGGATTTACTTTATTTAAAATACCAATAGTCAAACTTAGTGTAAACTGTTACAGGTACAAGAGCGGGGTGCGCTCAGTGAGGGGCGGGGGTGGCGGCGGCGCGGAGGAGGCGCGGCGCGGCGGCCTCAAGGCGCTGCCGAAGCGCGCCCGCACTCGCTGCAGGGGAATGAACATGGGGCAAAAGCTCTCCGGCGGAGTGAAGTCGGTGTCGCGCGAGTGCACGGTGCCGTTCAAGGCGGTGGTCGCGCGCGAGCTGGCGCCGGAGCCTCCGCGGCCCGCGCGCCTCGACGCGCTGCTAGACGCGCCGCCCGCGCATCTCGACCTGCAATACAAGCACGCCTGGAATCCCGATGACAGGTAATCTCCCTCCTATTGCAAAACGTGGTTTATTTGTAGTCTCACGCTTCAACTTTGGTTTTTCGTGTGTAAGTATTTTACAATACGCGAGCAACCTATATATACTTCTATTTCACAGTACGCGAACAACCCGGATTCGACCTCGACGGCAACCAATGAAACTGTTAATTGCAATTAATTGCTGATTTACCACGTGCTCGACGATGAATGAAAACAAAATGCGGAAACCTGCATGTCTGAAAAATAAGAACAAAAAATATTTCGAAGACATGTGAAACAAAAAAAAACCTCTCAGAAATGAAATGAGGTTTTGTGAGAGTGATGTTTAGAGGTTTGAGGAGTAGTGGGACGTATATAGCTGTAACTTCTTTTAGTCGCGGCGCCACAGTCTTCCGAAATTTGTAATTTTTTGTCAAATTCCGGAATACATTATACTATCTCCGCGGGACTTCTTTCGTTAACAGAAGTTTCACCTTGATTAAACGTTAGACTAAATACACAACTACTTTTGTAATAAGGCCGTTAAAGTTCAAATGGACTAACAGTCCATATGATAATAAGTCGCTACTGAAGCACCTGCAATGAACTTAAAACAAATAAATCTACACATGCATTATTCTTGAGGATTACGATGGGATACCCAAAACTCTTAACCCTCCGTAATCTTCAAATCAGAACAACTATTGATGCACTGTTACTATGCGAATGAAACCTCAATTGGGTTCGCAAACATAAAAGGATCCCTTCCGCCTAGTCAATACATATATTCACTATTCATTTTCTTTTTTATTGGCTTTATGTTAGCTTGACCTGTATGAATGTAATACGAGTATAATATAGCATTTACAGTTTTCACGCACATCCAAATGTCTGAATAATCTGAAATTTTGCCGACGTGTTAGAACCGATGACAATACAATAATTTTATGACCATGACCTAATGTTAGTATTCCCACGACGATCGCCACATCTCATGATCGAAGTGTTTTGTTTGAATGATTATAAAAACTACTAATATTGTTTCAATTAATCTTTTCGTGTCAAGGATTGAATTTAGCTTGTATCCGCTCTAAAGTGCACTCATAGATCTCCGTGCGTGGAAAGAGGTCTGACTTTTGATACAGCTCTTTTGAGAAAGATATTTCAATATGTTAAAGATTTTAGATGCAAACATGGAAAGGCATTGAACGATTTATAAGGATGAATAGGGCCGTGTAACAAGCCACGTTTTAGTTTGATTATGCCAAATAACTTCTACCGAATTCGTTTATATATAAGTATGAGTATCAATATATCGAGAGTATCACGATATGTTTGATATTATATTTTAGCTGATACGTACATAAATAGTTAAAATTATTTTATTTTGGGCTAAATAATTGAATTCTATTCTATAAGTATGTAATCTCCTATCTTGAAGAAAAACCTTCGCACTTTCGGTCCACGCTTTCGAAGTAGTACTAACAAAACGAAGTTGAAAAGCTTCTGATGGACTTTAAGCACTGGTTTTCACCCGCTTTCAGAAGTTCCGCTGTTGTTTCAACACCGCCGCTTACCGTTTTTAAGATGCTGAAGAGCCATTCTAATCTATAAAGAGACATTTGCGTTTAGCTCCAACTCGTCGTTGGTTTACATCTCTCTGTAGAATTCACTCAATTTCACTCTATTTTTTTACATTACGCATTATCCCCTCACACGCAGACTTGCTTACGAAAAAGCTTTGATTCCATGGACCGCATACATACTCTTCGGTAAATGGTACAGAAGACCGATAAGTACAATCTGACGCTTTGTCTTGCATATGTGGACTATGAAAAAGCTTTTGTTTCTGTCGCAATTTTGGCGGTGCTCATGTCTCTTCATCGGTAACAAGTTGAATGTTGATATGGAGATATTGAAGTAGGTATTCAGTAAAGCTACGATGGCCATCCGAGTACAGAACCAGAGTACGAAACCTATGCAACTGCAGGTGAGGTGTAAGACAGGGTGAAGTTATATCCCCTAAACACTTGACCGCCGCTGCATTGGAAGACGTTTTCAAGGTACTGGACTGGAAATAATACGGTATCAACATCAATAGCGAGTAAATCACCTTCGAATTACCGACGATAAATTCATTATGTCAATTCTATCACTAATTCTAGTGGAGAAACTCAGCACTATGCTCAATGACTACGAATAAATCTTAAGATGAACACGGGCAAGGTAATGTATAACTTCCATGTCACAGTCACACCTATGCCGGTAGGTTTTGGGAGTACTATGCTCGAATTTGTTGGTGAAGTATGTTTTCGTATGACAAATAATTGTCCGTGTCCAACCGAATACGACACATCTTCTCGTGACGTATATCTCAAAACTTAAAAATAAGAGTGTAGGTACTATCGGTGCGTGCTGTCAGTGAACTGCTCTCCGTATAAAGAAACGCATGGTCGCTCAGCAAGCTTTGGAAAGAGCTATGCTTGAAGTTTCTGTGCGAAATAAAAATTCGAAATAAAGTTCTTGAGTGGCAGCATCATACTGGTGAACGAAGTGTAGTGACTCCCGACTAGATGGAATGACGACCTGGTAAGAAATGCAGGAAGTCGACGGATGCAGGTTACTCAGGACCGCGCTTTGAGGCATTCCTTGGGCAGACCAATGTTCACCAGTCAACTTGTGATAGTCTGTAATGATTATGATGATTAAAATGAATGAAAACATTAATTACATTTCAATTTTAATTAATGTTTTTGACATATTATATCAAAATAATTGAAATTAGTAATCGGATATGATGTATGAGTATTTTTGTATTTATTAAGCCGGCAATACATGTTCGCTAAGCCTCAGCCAACGTGAGCGTAGGCACCTATATATAGTCCGGAATTTTTTATAAAAGAGTACCTTGTAATCCGACAAATTTCAGATCCAATGATAAGATTCTATATGTTATATATATGTACATACTCTGAAGTACAAATTATACTACATTATGTATGTCAAAATTAGTAAATTAAACAACACAATAGGGAGCTTAATTTTATTATAAAATTAACGTCATCAATACTGTAGAACTTACAAAAAATATGCAATAACTTTACATTAGGAAATTATTGTGTACAACCAAATGTACATACTAAAAATTATAACTTGTTCAATCATGCATTTGCGAAGATTGTCAAAAAATATCTAATAATTAATAATAGACCATGTCGGATTACAGGGGGTGCCGGATTAGACAGGGGCCGGATTACCGGGGATCCACTGTACTGGTTATTTACTGTATGGTTGATTAACATGTGGACACGATTTGCCGAGTGCAGGCCGAGCGCCTTTGATTTGTGCAGAAAAACCGACACTATTCGGAAGTGAGACCTGTCAAGGCACCCCAAACGAACCGTATACACTATACAGGTTGGGTCTAGCCTGCGCTCGGCCAGCTAGGCGAACGACGACTAGCTATGCCAAGGCTAGACAAATGGCTTGTCTATATATGTCGGTACTCGCGTTCGTTTGGCCAACATGTGTAGCCGGTTTTATAAAACATAGATTTTTAAACAACTATTAGTTTATTAAAGTATTTGCGTGTTAAGAGATTAACTTTGTTAATGTAGAATTAAAACTGTTCAATGAAAATAATAGTTAAGCTAATCTTGCTCTCGTGACAAGTACACCAACTAATTTATTATCTACACAACGATTCTCACGGCCTGATAGTCGGATGGTTTATTTACTGGTTGCAAAACGAAAGGAATCGTACTTGATTATTATTATTTTTGGAGCGAAGTTCCTTATCTGACGGTATTAATTTGGCGGATGGGGGCTAGGCTAGAAAAAGTGTAAGATTTTTCCGTGACGACCCCTTCTGATGTAGTATAGACGGCCTTGGCGGCTACAATGAAGTCAGATGGAAATAATATCCATCTCCCTCGCAGTTTTTCTTACCTTGCCATGAAAAAAAATTATTTTTTTAAAATGACGCTTCATTTTATTAGACGCTATTACCTACTTCATTTATTTTTATTTGTTAATCACGTTATCAATAAGAATATACTACGAAAGGAACTTCATTCCAACCGAGTGTTCCACGACACTCACGCATGTTTTTAAATACATATTTAGAGTTGTATGTAGATTTCCGCCATTTGAACCGGTTTTTCCTTCTGCACCATTCACTCGAATAATGTTTGACCTACGTAGTTTCTTTATGCTTGCCTTTAGCAAACTTGAAGTAGGTATTATGGAATTCACATTTTATTAATTATCTCTTAGCAACATTATGTTCCAGTTACAGTAAGCTATAATTATCGATGATCACATTAATAATTCAAATTACCTCACTGTTTTTTTACAAACACAAAACCCGGTCTCTATCCACCTGCTCGTGCATATGAATCATTTCATAGGAACTACGGTAACATTAATTTTCCTCCAAGCCATAGATCCGTTCCCTCGTGTGTTGTCAATACATTGTTTCTGATTATGAACATATTTCTGCATCAATCAATCTGAATTTCTGCGAATTCCTATTTGTTTTGACTGTAAGCGCCAAGCAATCGTTAGATTAAATATTCGTATATGCAAAGAGTACGAATAGCATAGATTTTTTTATTAAATGCATACTATTTTAAATAAATTTATTAACGGCATTATTTGTGCAAAATAACACCAATATAATATTAAATTTATTATATTGGTTTGAACCTAATTCAATTTACTTTACAGCTTATCTACTTTAACTAGCTTTTAAAATGCTAAAAATAAAATGTTCTAACAAAGACAAGACTGAAAAAATAAGTCACTAAGCTCGAGTTTTGTAAACAAAGAGTTATAATTTAGTGTGTACAATCTAAAAAGCTTGGTACACACAGAGGACCTTGGCTTAAGTAAGTTTATAAACTGCCCTTTCAGGCACTTCATTCAGCGTTTATCTCTTTTATCTCTTTAGAAAAGAGTTTAAAACGTTAAATGTTTTTATTAAATAACTAACAAACCAACTTCTTGTTCTCAATAGCCTTACAATACAAAGTCAATAGTTTACTTGCGACTTGTTGTATATAATTATAGTGTGCGGAAGCCGACCCATTAAACAATTAGTGTTTCATCAATGGTAAAACTATTTATCAAACTATTTTCCTTAAAACGTCACTTGTCTTTTGATTATATCTTAACGAACCTTCCGTTTAGGTAACCATCATACTAAAAAAAAAAGAGAACACAAAGTTTTAAATGAAAACATGTTATCGTCATTTTGAAAGTTATTAGTGAAAAATATTGTATTTAAGCCTGTATTTCTTAATATTATTAATTTATTACAGTGGCATACGCGCTATCGGATAGTAAGTTTTATAGCGATAAGAGGATTACCTAACCAGAATGTCTCTAAGACGAAAACACTACTACCTAAATTTGTTGTAAATATGCCATGTTCCTAGGTCAGGTAAACCTCTAAAAATTTTTAGTCTATGGAGACTAGAATTGTTCGTTTAAGTTAGTTCCTAGTTCTAATAAACAATAAGAGATTGTTTACAAGTTTATAACAAAAATTATTAATTACGTTTCAATATTACACGTGTCTACACATACCATTAATAAGGCATACGCCTTTTTAAAACGTCCGTTTTACACAATATACGCATGGCAAACGTATGAACAGACAATTAGACATTAGACCTTCACAGTCTGTCCTTGCCGCCCGCCGCCGCCGTTTACAAAACAATTTGCCTGATGCTTTATACGTTTTGGTATAACAAGGTTGTTTCATCGATAAAACGACGGGTCGTTAGGTCCTCGCTGCGCCGTTTATTAGGAACTCGGGAACACCAGACGCGTTTACTTTCAAATATTCATGTTTCGCTGATACAAAGCTTACGGCCCGCGTTGTGTTGAACTCATTTAACGGTTACATGATTTTATCGAGTAACATATTACATTTATTTATTTAACGAATATAATTTTGTTGTGATTTAGTCAATTATAACCTTTCTCTGTAAATAATAAACTTAATGACATTATAAATTAAACGCTCATCACTTTCGGCAGGCCGAGTGGCGTAACGACGCGTTCGGCATCCGTTTTCAGCGGTCGTCACTCGGGACGCTGTAATGAAATGAAGTAAAATGACAGAAGCGTGTGTTTGTCATGGACGCCAATTTCTCTGCCCCGCCGAACGCACTTACCGCCATCTATTATAACTAGTGATGCAACGAATACTACTTTTACGAATACGAATATCTCGCCATGGTAATAAAAAACTAATTTATATTATGATTTTCTATTGTTCTAATAATTAAAATTTACAATAGGCAAATTTTTATTTTAAACACATAAAATTTGTAGATTTTCTGGTTTTAGGTGATTTCTTCTTTCTGTCTGGATGTTCCCAGCCCGTTGAAAAAAGTCTTTCCGAGGCGACTGTATATAGTTTCAGTGAAAAATATTTTTGGTAGTCCCCCGTCGTTGAGGCTAAGGGCCAAAATACACGTCGTATTTTTTTCGCGCCGACGACGCGCGTTATCCAAGTCCGTCAGTAATTAGAGTTGCGTACAAAAATATTAGTTTTTAAATATTCGTGGTCAGTATTCGCCGAATACGAGTATTATAACCCTTAGGATGGGATCGTTGGCATATCGCCTCTTGCGACACCCACGTGATGTAATGGGGAGATGAATTCTCATACTCCGCCAGCACATGACACATATACGTATCAGTATACACATAAATTCATTAAAGTCAAATGTAAATACCCAGACTGGCGACCAGAGGAGCGCCAAAGATGCGAGAGAGAGACGTACTTGAGACGGAGAGACTGGTACTGTGATCGTGAATCAGCGTGACGAATATGGCAAATATTCTTTACAACGGGAGAAACTTACAATAGTTAATTCATTTATAGAAAACACAAATTTTTAAAGTTTAAAACAATAGGAGAAGTTATAATTTCAAAAACTAAGGGGAAAATTTTCAATCAAACTCTACAAGATACACAAGTTGATAAAACAAAGACCTGAGGAATAATACCGTACAAATTTCTACTTATTCGTTTTGTTTCATAATAAACGCTTACAAACCTTTTGTCTGTTTACCATTTTGTAAACAGAATATAAGTTGAGATTTCTAATTAGAACCAATTCATGCCTTTAGCCCCGGCGTTCATTACAAATTACAATCAATAACTATTGTAAATACTTATTTATTCCTAAGGTTATTTGGAAAAGTACTAACAAAATATTAGTGTGTATTATTATTGTCTCAAAAGAGCTTCGAATTGCTGCTAGCAATTATTCATGTCGTAGTTGTCTTAAAAGGTAAATGTGCTAGATCTCTACAAAAAATTACTATAATATCTAATATATAAAATTCTCGTGTCGCGGTGTTTGTTAGCAATCTCCTCCGAAACGGGTGAACCGTGTACGAGTATGTAATTTTGTGTGCATATCAGGTATGTCTGAGAATCGGCCAACGTCTATTTTTCAAACCCTTAAATGATAAGGGTCACCCACCCCTAAATATTTTTTTAATTATTTTGACAATTTTTTTATTTTAGTTTTATTATTATTTAGCGTTAAAAATTCATAAAACTAAAAAAATATTTTTTATAAATAATGTATATGGCAAAACAACGTTTGCCGGGTCAGCTAGTTAATATATAATTTTAAAATATTATAGAATTTATTACTATATACCGCCCTTTTGGTTGTTATAAAACTCGACCAAGTTAATTTATCTGTGAAATTTTGTGGCATTCAATCTAAATGTTTCGTCTAAATATAATAGGAATTATATTACTAAGGTTTGACATCATAACAAAAGGGTTAGACTACCTACAACGGAAAAAGTGGCGACCTACATTTACCTTAAATAGCATTATATTTTAAACAATATGTAGATGGTATCCTCTACTGATCAACTTCGACGCCAATTTTCGCTTTAGGAGCGCTATCTAGAGCTCAGGAGATTATTTTACCATGAGTGTACGGCCCTAACACAAGCACCAAAAAGTATAGTAAATAAAAAGCACTAATTCGTTCTGGTCAACTCGCATTCGGTGTAGTGCGATAAGACGAGATCCTAGCCCACCTCCAATATCCGTCCAAACACAGCTTATAGTAATTTTCTAAGTGTTTTGTAAAGACCAATTTTGAATTAAACAAATATTGATATCAATCAAATGCGATCACTAAGTCTGCCCAATATAACGAGTCAAATCGTCCAAATAATACAGTGGGTAGTACATCTAACATATAATCATGTAATGATTATATGTTAGATGTTTATGACTACACAATAATTGAACGCGATAAAATCCGTAATTATTAATTTTATTTTACAGAAGCATGTTAGTCAGTTTCTGATCTCATTCTTAAGATCATATAAATATATATTTCCGATCTTCGCCCGAATATAATAGTACTTTTTAAAAATTAATTTTGATTGGAGATTCAACATCAACTGTATTCTTCAACAGCTATTTACACAATGATACCTATTTTAAGTGTTTTAATGTCAGCCGATTGAATATGTTATTGCAAAACCATTTGGCACACATCATAATTAGTTTTCAAAAATTAAATATAATATTTCAAGATTATATTAATAATAATATATGGAGCTACCATCGCGTTTTGCAGCAGTGGTTATTAGCAAAAAGTGTTGTTAACTCCTCATTGAAATAAGAAAAGGCATTTCCCGGCCATGCTGCAGCTATAGTATAGATGTAGCACGAATGGGTCGACACGGCCGGGGAAAGACCACGCTCTCACAGAATTCCAGCGTGAAATAGCAGCTTAATGCTGCTGTGTTCCATATTATGACTAGTGTAGAGAACCCGAGACGCTTTTTACTGGAAATGAGGCATTCCATTTTGGCCCTCCAGGGTGACAACGCATCTGCATTTTAATTCTTAATCGAGAATAAATATCTATGTCTGAATAAATATCTATGGACCACAGCATCCACTTATCATCGGGTAGACTGTGTGCACGTTTGTCAACTCCATTCTATTAAAAAAAAAAGATGTTGTTTTAAAAAGAAAAACTAAAAAGAAATGCATAAATGTGCAAAAAAATAAAGAGCAATCCTCTAAGGCATTGTCTTGCGTATTAATATAATACTCTAGAGTCTAGATACTTAGACTTTTTTGAAACCAAATTCTCAATTGAATGATATTGTGTAAAAATTTCACCTCAGTCCCGCCCCAACTGCGACATGTCATTAGCCCTCATTGTCAACTTTACAATTGCAGATCGCTAAACATATTCGTGAAGGAGGAGGACGCGTTAACGTTCCACCGGCACCCGGTGGCGCAGAGCACGGACTGCATCCGCGGGCGGGTGGGGTACTCGCGCGGGCTGCACTGCTGGGAGGTGGTGTGGCCGGCGCGCCAGCGCGGCACGCACGCCGTCGTCGGCGTCGCCACCGCGCACGCGCCGCTGCACTCCGTCGGCTACCAGAGCCTGGTCGGCGCCACCGACCAGAGCTGGGGCTGGGATTTGGGCAGGAACAAGGTGAGTCCGCCACCACTGTTCATTTTAATATAATAGTAACTCTATTGTACACCACAACAATTTACAGAAAAAGCTGTATTAAACGTGGTAGAGCCATGCTACAGCCATATTTACATTATCATCCACATCACCTGGATGCTTGGCGGTCCACTACTTTGCAATTCTACTAGGAGTTTTCATCCTCGCTCGACTACTTTGTTCTTTTATCACCGGCGATTTTCCCGGACCGATACGACTTAGGGACCTTCCATAAAAGAGCTTATTCCTTTTTAAAAAGCCGGCAACGCGCCTGCAATTCTCCTGGTGTTGCAGTTGTTTACGGGCAGCGGTCGACACTTACCATCAGGCGTGCCGCATCCGCGTTCGTCTGCACCTTCTTCTAAAAAAAACTTATAGTTTTAGCACGAATGGGTCGGCTCGACTGATGTAATGTGAATGGTGCGTAAACTAGCAGCTTAATACCGCTGTGTTTTGTCTTTATGTCAACGGCAAGATAACGTGGCATTCTCGGAGTGATGACGCTAATCACTGTCACTGTCTAATCTGTTGGATTAATCTTCCTTCATCAGACGTCAGTCAGAGCCTCAACCGTCAAAAGTGTGCAACGCGAGTAATTTCTACATAGCATACCCTCTCTTCAATCAATAATGTCCTGAAGTTATCTTTATCAATGCATTTCATTTCTATCAATAGCAAATATTACTTCAAGTTAAACGGCCTTATTATGACTATAATGAGGTTCATTTATAGTCGTGTTTAGAGAAAAGTATTTCACAAAAAAAGACCCTTAATCGCGGCGCTATTATTTTCTAGTTTCTATATAACTTGAAAATGTGTTTTTCTCAGTCAGATGCGCTCATGGCTATGCGTTACCTTCACAGAGTACGCAATAGCAGCTGCTGCTCTGTGATTAAATTAATCCGTCTCTGTCCGAGAACTGTCACCCGGAACTTATCGCCTATTACCAGAATACATTGCCAATAAATCGCCGGCGTTCCGTTCGGGATTACCGACGGCGCTGAAGTTTGACTTCAGCACAGTCGTTCGACACTGATACACTTAAGTTTATTTTTCGTTATACGCTGTGTGTTAGCTAAATAAATGTAGTTTTTCTTTGCCAAAAATGAAAATATCGAAAAAAAAATACAGAAGATATTTCTTTAAAACTATCAACAATTTTCAGTTTGATTAACTGGATATATACTATCGAGAATTCTCTGCAAATCATATTTATCTCATACGTACTTTTAACTGTTGTAGAATGCAAAGATATTAATTAAAAAAAAAATGTTCAAGAAATTTTCTTTTAGTATTAACTTTTTTTTTATAGATGGTAATTGGATGTTGTGGCCCAGAGACATCTACATTTATCCTCGATTAAGAATCAAAATGCAAATTCGTTGTTACCCCTGAGGACTAAAATGGATTGCCTCGCTTTCAGCAAAAACATTCTCCGGTTCTCTATACTCGCCATAACACAGCAGAATTGAGCTGCTATTTTACGCTGGTATTCTATGAGCGCGTGGACCTTCCCCGTTCGAGCCGACCCATTCATGCTACAAGCATAATATAGCTGCAGCGTCGCTATACCACGTGAAAGCAATACACTTATAAGGAACGAGTAAAATTATTAAAAAATGAACGAGTAAATAATTTGTGTAAAAACGACCGACTATAGTCAGTAATGTCTGATCCAATGATTAACTGGTCCGGTTTCAGGTTTACCACAACGCGAAAGGCACGGGCGGCAGCGGCACGACGTACCCGGGGCTGTTGCGGCCCGACGAGCAGTTCCTGGTGCCGGACCGGCTGCTGGTGGTGTTGGACATGGACGAGGGCACGCTCGCCTTCTGCGCGGACGGCCGCTACCTGGGCGTGGCGGCGCGCGGCCTGCGCGGCAAGACGCTCTACCCCATCGTGTCCGCGGTGTGGGGCCACGCCGAGATCACCATGAAGTACATCGGCGGCTTGGACCGTGAGTACCCACTTACTTTACATTTTTAATTACCGTTACAGCCAATCAAAAGTCCATTAGCCTTCAAAATGCCCTTAGAATGCCTCATTGCCATAGTTGCCATGCTTGCGTGTTAAAAACCGCAGTTTTTTTTATAGTTAATACGAAGACACCGCGGACAACAATAGTTTTTCCTTCTGTCGCCCCTAACGACACCCACGGAACAATATGGGTAGTGGATATTCTTAAACCGCAATTACGCGGTAAATTTTGAATAAGGGTAGTGTATCATTTGATTTTAAAACACACATCAAAAAGTAGGATTTGTGTTAGGATTCGTGATGATTCGATGACCCTTAAACAGGCTACTCTCACTTTAATATTAAAGATAATTTTATAAAAGACGTCAAAATTAAATAATTCTAATGCAAAAATGAAATACCTGCAGAATTTTTTTTAAAGTTGCGTCTCCAAACAAAATAACCTAATTTTAATTGCCTGTAGCCGGCCATTCCCATCCGTGAACCTGTTATACAGGGTTATATTATAGTAATCAGCCAAATTTACAGAGAAGGTTCAGAATAAATAATATAAGTAAATGGTGAAGAAAAATTAATTTAAAAAAGAAACTCAAACATTCTATTCCTCTTATCTTTTAAATTCAAAATGCGTGGTAATGCATTATTTTAACTGATTGTCATTCGTAAATATCTAACGCCTACTATTTTACTACCGTGTAGTGGCGCTCAAGAATATCCAATACGCCATATCTTCCCGTGGGTGTCGTAAAAGGCGACAAAGGGAAACAGGCAGGAGATGGGCAGCAGCATCTTCCCGATAATAGCCAAAAATACAATTAAAAAAACTGCGGTTGCCAACCCGCTCGCCAAGCATGGCAACTATGGCTAATACCCCCCCCCCCCCCAGTCCCCGCTATTCCTGGCTACGGTGGCGACCATGGTAACGGCGGGGCAGGGGGTGCTAAGAATCTCCGGTGGAGGTTCGGTTGCCACCTTAGACGATTCGACCTGGCAACGTACAACGCACGCACCCTGAGGACTGACGAGAAGATTGTGGAGCTGGAAGAAGAGATAGACAATTTGCGCTGGCATATTATAGGATTATCCGAAGTCCGAAGAGAGGGGGAGGACACGGTAATCCTCGAATCCAGCAACTTGCTCTATCACCGGGAGGGCGACCATCTATCCCAAGGAGGTGTCGGATTTATCGTCCACAAGTCTCTCGTTAACAACGTTGTAAAGATCGGGAGTGTGTCGACGAGGGTTGCGTACCTTATACTCAGAATCACCAAACGGTATTCGCTGAAGGTCATACAGGTTTACGCACCAACCTCGGCACACCCCGATGAAGAGGTGGAGGAAATGTATGAGGATATTTCTAGAGCCATGCATTCCTCCAAAACCCAATATACGGTGTTAATGGGAGACTTCAATGCAAAACTAGGCACAAGAGAGAACGGTGAGCTGAAAGTAGGGAAATTTGGAATAGGGCAACGGAACCCAAGGGGCCAGCAGCTGGCCGACTTCATGGAGAAAGAGGGACTCTTTATGATGAACTCTTTCTTCCAGAAGTGGCCTCACAGGAAGTGGACCTGGTCGAGCCCCGACGGTTCGACAAAAAATGAGATTGACTTCATTATGACGACCAGACGACAGCTGTTCGATGATGTCACACTGATGATGATGCCACACTCGGTCTTCAGCATTGACATTGGCTCTTTCTGGCAGACAGATCTCTGGCAAAGACTTTGGAGCCTTGGTTCCGCTCGATCGCTTCTTCAATACAAGCTGTATTGAAGTTGCGTAAGTCCCGCCGTATGCATTTGGAGATCTGTCTGTTCAGTTGCCTGTGTGCTGTCAAATTTCTTGAAGAATGTAGTTTCATCTCCCCTCTAATAGACATGTGATTAAGAGTGTGATCGGAGAGTTTTTGTGTTTTTCTGAGGCGGGTTTTGCAGAACTTAGGTCTCGTAGTCTCTCTAGGTAACTCGAGCTAAAAGGTTTCGGGACTTTGGAACAGAGCGCGAGGGGGACGGAGCGTTGACTTCATTAGATGAGATCTTTCCAATTTAACGTTTAGGTTCAGTGTGTCTCTGACCATTCGGTGATCGCTACCAGTTTTCACCCTCGCGATCACGGAGATAGTGATTGTTGACTAATAATAATTTACACTATCTTTTTTTATACCGCGAAAGACAGTCAATTGAATTTTAACTATTTGTTTTGTCCTGTTTTGTGAATAACAATGCTGATTGGGCCTTTGCATGCGCTTTTAAGGCGAGGATTTCCTACATTAAAAGGTTTTTAGCATTTTTTTCTTCGTTGGATGCATATTTGTCAAGTTTTTTCTGATTAAATTATAATTTTGTATCTCGATTCATTATCATCATTACTGTCTTTCACAAGTCCACTGTTGAGAATATAGGGTTTAAGGAATGCCGCAAATTTCTATATTGATTAATGTGATTAGAATGAATTATTGTATATGTATATGCATTTTTTTGAGCATTTACTATTTGAAGAAGTGTCGCTTAGCAAATGATAAAATAGGATATTTGGTGGGACGTGTGGTTAAGTGGTGTGTTGTGCGGTTTGCAGCGGAGCCGCTGCCGCTGATGGAGCTGTGCCGGCGCGTGATCCGGCAGCGCGTGGGGCGCGCGCGGCTGCGCGGCGCCGCCTCGCGCCTGGCGCTGCCGCCCGCGCTCTCCGCCTACCTGCTGTACCGCGCGCCCTAGCGCCGCGCACCGCACCTGCTGCCCCCGCACCTGCCGCCCCCCGCACCCGCCGCACCCCGCCCCTCGCACACCTCACAACGTCTCTATACTTTGATTCTTAACGACACTCGGTAAAATTAACGTACGCACGTAAGCCTTGCAAACTATCCATCCATTACAGCTCAATACTGAACGTAAGGGACTTTGCCATAGTCGCCACGCTTGGCAACCGCAGTTTTTTATTATTTTAAGCTCGTCGTCGTCGAATGCTGCTACCCACTAAGCTTCCCTCTGTCGCCTCTTACGACACTCACGGGACGATATGGGGTAGTGGATATACTTACACCGCCACTACACGGTTAGTTGCTACTATAGATGATACAAATTGTAAGCATGAAGACGACAGGAGAAGTGTGAATGTTTAATGCCCAAATACTCAAACGCTAATCAATTTTAAAATACCGTTAAGTTCCATGCTGTGTCTATCAAAGTGACTGTAACACCACGGGACTTAACGACATCTTAAAATAGAGTAGAATTTTAGTATTTGACCGTAATAAACAGTGACTGACGGATTACGTAAAGAAATATTCACCGTCCGCCCGCGCCCTGGAACGAATCATCCATTCTCTCCGTCGTTACACTGCTGGACAAACCTTTTTATTTCTTGAAAGACTTACTCACCGAATTAGTGAAAACAGAGCAGATATCCTCGCACTAATGATAGCATTTTCAAGTGAATATTTCACTCTATTTGTCAGTACATCTCATATAAGTGAGATATTCATTTCGAGAAAATAATATTACATCTCTCTTACACCCCTATACGAACAAATCAATATCATATATTTAATATACATGACAGTACAAATCAATACATGATATCGATTCGTTTTTATCACCTTCACTTTTTTATTACATAAAAAGAAATTAGCTATGAAACGTTATATTACCGGCTGAACTTAAAATCGGAGTATAGATTCGACGCTAAGAAGAGTCCTTGGACGCAGCGTCATTTTCCTTAATTTGATATCTGCTATCAAATTCCATACCTTAATTAATGCGCATATTTTCCGCGGGACTCTTCCGTGGCGTTGTCTCCATTTTTGCCCCACCACTGCTTGCACACGGCCGCAACTATTTACCTGAAGGGAGTCCAACACTTGCATGCACATTAATTATAAAACGAGTTCAATATGCTTTCACGGACAGTAAACGAAAAAGCACAATGAACGATGTCACTTTGGCGAGCATGTCAATAGAATTAATCTTTTTATGACATGTACGCATTTGCCTCACTCAGTGTACATATGCCCAAAAACAAGTTTAGATCCCATCGTAAGTGCTAAGCCTAAAAATATAATTAATCGTAAGTCATGTTGCAATGCAGTGCCGTTAAGCAAGCTTTACAGAATCTATGCTCGTACGTATGTGGAGTTAAAATGAAAAAATGCGGGCGCGGCTATTGCGGTTAGGATTGCAATATTATCGATCTGAAACTGTACCAATTGCAGAACGAATTTAAAAAAAAAAACATAGAAAATAACCAAGAACATTATCTATTCATTGTCGTTTATTCTATACTATCTCTATTTCTATAAGTTTAAATATATTCATAAACAAAAGCTCCTCCTAAATCGTAACTGATTGCTATTATATTGCTACCAATCTTGTATACAAATATATCTATTTACTTTAAAACTAACATTTGAACAATGACGCCTGGAAGCGTAAAAATTATAATTTTAATACTTTTACCTTATTTTATTTCATAGGTTATTTACTGCTGTTAAATAACCTGTGAAATAAAATGCAGGTGTAACAATTACACTACACACAAAACATTTGCATATAGCCTGATTGTTACTTTACAAACTCGTTTCGTAATTGGTGCATGTTTAAAAATGTAATAATTATACTAACACATTCTGCAACGATTCCAACATGCATACTTTCTTTTATTTTAATATTATCTGTGATAATTATACTTTAAATAACAAATTAAAAACCTGCTGATTTATCTTTAAATCGATGCATTACCTTATGATCGATTTTTTTTTTATACAAAATTGACGTATGCGGGTTTTTGGACAGAAAACTCGTTGTAATGCAGTTTTAAACAGGGAGGGCTAATATGGTACTATTCCGTTACCGATTATGGCATTATGGGCGAATAATATACTTATATATTTATAGGTTATTCATGGCATTAATTAATAACCAAATTTTTTTCTTTAATTATAATGAACTCTATTGCAAGCCGCACACGTTTGAAGCCATATTGATCTCTCGAATGGTAACCTGCGACATCTAGGACTAATATCGCAGGCATCCATATCGTACTTGTCTAGAAATAATTCAGAATGTAACACCAACACAACTCACGAGCCTCTGCAATTATTAATATGAGAGATGTCTTTGTTATTATTACAATAGCGTTCCACGGACGACGGTTGGACGTCGTCTGTGCACTAGGCCAGTGTATCGTTGGCAATCTTACATAACTATTTTATAGCTCATTAAGTGACTGGTTTATTTTTTAGTTTAGTATTTTTAATTCCTATTGTAAAAACGTGTGACTGTGTGATGTATATATAAATATATATCTACTTGGCTACACAAATCGGGCTCAGTGTGAATATGTCACACAAGAGTCAATTTAGTTGTACAATTATGAAAATATTTTGCTAAAATAATTTTGGTGCATTCGAGTGCCCAAAAATGTCGTCTCCGCGTTACGTCTTCTTTTGTAATTTAGATGAATTAATATAAAACGCAATAAATTGAAAATTAGTATTTTCGAAGCACCATACTAAGTGTCAGCCATTTTTTGATCCAGGTTAGTTGTTAAAACCTTTATAAATAAGTACTTCCATTTTAATAAGATTTTTTCATATGTAGAGTGTACGGCAAGTAGACATTCAACGTGGAGCTCACTTTTATACTGGGTTAATATTCACATTTTATCTCAGGTTCTTATAAATATTATATAACGAAATATAGATTCAATTGAAAAGACAGACGTTACTTTATTTTGTAATAATAATACGAGTTTTATGTGAATATTGACATTTGTGAGTAAACTATAATAAACTGCCAAATGCGAAATGTATGAAGTATGTGTATGTTAGAGATTTGTATGGTTGTGTATGTGAATGTGGTGATTGGATGTCGAGTGAAGTGTGTGAAGAAACCGTTGTGCGTTAGAAGGTTATTTTCGTTGTGTAAGAGATATAATCATGATATAAAATACACCAAGATTGATGTACTGTTGATGATGACCTGTCCTTTACAATGGACTCTTTACCGCGACCAATACTTGAAAGCTAACATTTAATTATTGTTTGCATCTGTTTGACATAACTTAGGAGTGCATTGTAAAGGATTTAAGTAAATATTAGTAAAAATAACCGTTTGAATTCTGTGAACCGTCGAACTTAGTCTTGTATATAAATATATAATTTTGTGGTGTTTAATGAGTTTATTATTGTAAGTGGAAATGCATTTTAGTTTTTTAAGTTGTAGGCAATATTTTTAAATGGTCGTTTGTATCAGACAACTGCGATTGACAGTCCGAATCTCTTAGATACAATGATTTAAAAAAAAATAGGAAAACGATTGGAATAAATATAACTGGTTAAGAAAATAATAAATGATATGAACTACAAATGGATTTTTATTGCGTCCTTTTAATTTTCGAATTTTCTATTTGCAAAGAATGTAAATTTCTTTTCTAAATAACCCTCCTTTCGATAAAAAAGGCCCCTAAAATTGCAGCTTACAATTTCAGGAGTTGATTGCTTAAGTTGTTCAAGTCAATAGCATCCTTTGTAAGGAAGGATTCCTTCATGTACGGTCCGCGCGTTCTATGTTGGCCGGGCTGAAGTTGGCTTTCCGAAACATTCGCGCATGCTAGTCGATAAAGATGTGCCACTTCATTTTCGCTCCTAAGATTGCTTAGAAAAAGAATTTGTTTTGTCTATATCGATTATAGAATAAATTGAATATTTTTTTGTAATAGTGAAAATATCTTTATGTATTTTAAAAAAAAACTAGTATGTAATAAAAAAATACGATATCATAAAGTTTGAATATATAGTAAATACACGATGTTAGGGAGCGAGGACAACAAATTCTGACAGTAACCCCAAAATAATATAACTTTAATCTTTTCAATAAATTCTTTAGCACATCATCATAATCGCTGTATTTAAAATAACATGTTTCATTTACACACCAATGAACCATAAAATATAAAATAAAATCGAAGCCTAATCTATAATATATTCGCATCTCTAGTTTTAGTTACCGCCCACCCTACCCCAGTATATATACATATCTCTACTATATATACAGTAACCTATGCCCTACCCGCTTCTTGCTACCATTTTGTTCCTAAATTATACTATATTTGCGCAGTCACTCGCGACTAACTTCAGCCCGGCCAAGATAGAATGTACGGACATTATTTTTTTAGATAGGGGAATACCCGCTTCGTAGGGGTAAGGACGGGTTATCTCGAACTACCACCCCATGGTGTCCCACCTTCGCCGCGGATCTGAAATATGGCTCCGCCGCCAACCAAGTTTCGGTCGCGGAGGGTAGGCAGAGCGGCGCCTCGCTATACCGATACTTTTTTTTTTTTATAGGATCGGGTGACAAACGAGCACGCAGTCCACCTGATGGTAAGTGGTTACTGTGACCCATAGACATCTACATCTATCCTCAATAAAGACTCAAGATGCAGATGCGTTGTCACCCGTGAGGACTAAGATGGAATGCCTCTTTGCCAGTAAAAAGGGTCTCCGGTTCTCTACACTCACCATACGAAACACAGCAGCGTTAAGCTGCTATTTTACGCTGGTTTTCTGTGAGAGCGTGGTCCTTCCCCGGTCGAGCCGACCCATACGTGCTACAACCATAATATAGCTGCAGCACTGCTCTCCCTCCGAGGCCCAGCCTCCACCGCATCAACGGTGCGGCCCCGTCAGAGTCGCGGAGGGTAGGGCGAGTGGCGCATC